TTAAGTAGCTTTCAGTTAAGTCTGCAGCTTTGGGGCATGTGGTTCAGATCCTGGGTCTGCGTTGGAGCAGACTGGCATGTCTGGCTCAACAAGACAGGGTGCTGGAGTCCCAGGCTGGCAGGGAAAGCAGGGGAAGTAGTAGTCTTGGCACATGAGTTGGCAGCCCCAAGGGGGTTTCTGTGATCCAACCCGTTACACTCTGTTCACACAATTTGTCTTGTTTAGTGTCCATTACCTTTTTCACTTCCTTTGTGAACCATGATAGGTGCCCTGATGCAGATTCTTCTGCCTCTTTGGAGACGGCTTTTAATTCAGGCATGTGTTTGAGGCTTTGGCAAGGGTGAACTGCAACCATGTTTGCCCTCGGCCCCTCCCTCTGGAATTTCTCTGGGCTGGACCCCACTCCCTTGTGAAGCTTTACCCTTAGCTAAGGATGCAAGGACTTTGTAACCTCCCACCAGTTCTAATTCTGCCATTTTCCCTGGCAACAAATCCTTGTTCTGGATCAGGTCCCTCCTGACCACAGAAACCTCAGCCCCCGTATCTCTCAATCCAACGCGTAATTTACCATTAAGATTAACAGCATGCATATGCTCACTGCTTGGTTGGGTAGAAGCAACCTTTACAAACCCTGTGTGGAAAGAGGAAGCAGCCGGGCTCTGAGAAGCAGCAGCTTCATGTGTTACCTGGGGCCTGTTCCCTCTTAGCACCTTTTTGGCTCCTCTGCTTGTACAGGAAATTTGTGACGAGTAATAGGGGAATGGGGAGGCAAAGGCCCAGCCTCCTTTTTCCCAGGGGTAAAACGGTGATTTTGCTTTCCCCCAACCCTGTACCCCTCTGCCAGTGGTTTATGTTTAATTGCAGTTTGTCCTTGCTCATATAGGGTGACCAGATGTCCTGATTTTGTAGGGACAGTCCCGATTTTTGGGTCTTTTTCTTATATAGGCTCCTATTACCTCCCACCCCGTGTCCTGATTTTTCACACTTGCTGTCTGGTCACCCTATGCTCATAGGAGTCTGCAAACACAGCTAATTCACCCATTGCATTCACCTTTTTGTCCCACAAATACGGTTTTACATCATCATTGCACATATTCAGGAATTGTTCCCGAGTAAGCAAATCACACATTCCTTCAAAGCTTATAATGCCTTTCCCCCTCACCCACTTATCTACCAAATCTCTCATTTCATTTACATAAGCCACATTACTCAATCCAGATCCCCTCTTAAGACTCCTGAATTTAACCCTGGGGGAGGGGGAGGAGGAGGGAGGCATGCCCCACAGTTTGAAAACTAATGCATTAGGCATTGGATTAGGCCCAAAAAGATTCAATAGCTCAAGAGAAGAAAAGTAGACAGGTTCCAAAGTGGAAAAATATACACAGGCCTCAATTTGGCAGCATTTTAAATTATAGATTTCATGTACATCTCTCTTTACCTCTCTGGAGAGGACTGTCACAATAGAAGATAACTGCCATGTAGTAATAGGGGAAATCCAAGGTAAATATGCAGCCCTTTTTGTGTTCTAAGCTGCAGTGCAGTTGACAAGGCCTTATGGACTTGCCAGCATATTGTTATTTCTGGAGCAGGTATGCATGTCATTTAAAATAAAATACTACTACTACTACTACTAATAGCTCTTGTATAAAGACTTCATGCAATTGAGTAAACATTACACCCATAAGTAATCCCATTGAACTTAATGTGCATACGAATTTAGCCAATCAGGTTGGGATTTTCAAAGGAAATCAAACCCAAAAGGAACTGGGTGGCTAAATCCCTTAGGCCCCTTTGAAAACCTCAAGCTCATGGAAAGACTTCCATTAACTTCAACAGGCTTTGGAGCATTCCCTTAGGACAGTGGTTCTCAACCAGGGGTAAGCAGAGGTCTTCCAGGGGGTATATCAACTCATCTAGATATTTGCCAAGTTTTACAGCAGGCTACATAAAAAACACTAGCGAAGTCAGTACAAACCAAAATGTCATACAATGACTTTTTTATACTGCTCTATACCCTGAAATGTAATTGTGATGAGTTCATTGGATAGTAGTTTGAGGGAAAGGTTATCAAGAAGGCAGGAGTGGTGGACTCTGAGGTCGGCGTTGGGAGGCTAATCAAAGCAAGTGAGCCTTGAGGAGGGACTTGAATTTCACAGATCAATTACAGTGCAATCTGTAGGAGACTACAATTACAGCCTGCTACCTTGAGTGTAGGGGTAAATGCTATTAATTTACTAAGTCATTAGAAAGAGGTTACTTTTGAATGAAAGGTTCACTCTGGGAGCCAGTGCTCTTCAGAACAGTCGCTTTCATATTATCATGAAGCAATTTTAGGACATCCAATCTTAGAGAGTACATTCCAGAGGGCACGGCGATTCACTGAATCAAAGGCTTTAGTTAGATCAATAAAAGCCATGTACAGTGGTCGGTTTTGCTCCCGACACTTTTCTTGCTGCTGCCGTGCGGTGAAGATCATATCCGCAGTTCCATGACATGGTCAGAAACCACTTTGTGACTCCGGTAAAATTTCTTCTGATGGGGCAGAAGGCGGGTTGCAAGGATCCACACCATAACTTTGTCTGCAATGGCAAGGAGGGAGATATCACGATAATTTTCACAATCCACTTTATCCTCTTTCTTGAAGAGGGTGACAATCAGGGCATCCCTCATTTCACTGGGCATCTCCTCCTTTATCTAGATTTTAAGGATAAGCATGTAAAACTGCCGAATTGGCTCTGGTCCACCATCTTTAAAGATTTCAGCGGGGATCCCATCTAGACCTGCTGCCTTGTTGTTTTTCATCTGCTTGGTGACATTGTGTACCTGTTCTGAGCAGCACTGGCTCCCAGATTGAACCTTTCAAAGTACAACAGGAGTCAAACAGGGCTGTATCATCGCTCCAACCATGTTTGCGGTTTTTATTGCCGTCATTCTTTATCTAACTGCTGGGAAATTTACAGCTGGCGTTGAAATCATTTACAGAATGGATGAAAAGCTGTTCAGGCTTAACAGGCTGAAAGCCAAAAGTAAGATTTCCACAACATCTACTGTGGAACTTCAGTATGCTGATGACAACGCAATCTTTGCCCACTCTGAGAAACATCTTCAAACTATCTTGAATGTGTTTGCCGATGCTTACGCGTGTCTTGGTTTCACTCTTAATATCAAGAAGACTAAAGAGCTCTATCAGCCCTCTCCAAATGAGATATTACATGCGCCAGCTATCAAAATCAATGGAGTGGCACTGGAGAATGTCGATCATTTCCTCTACCTTGGACGTCATCTTTCATCCAAGACAGATATTGATGCAGAAATTCAACATCGCCTGAGCTGTGCCAGTGTAGCTTTTTCTCGTTTATGGCACGGGGTTTTTGAAGATCACGACATTCGAACAGACACCAAGCTTCTTGTTTATCAAGCCGTTATTCTCCCAACACTGTTGCATGGGTCCGAAACTTGGACAACCTATAGACACCACTTGAAACTTCTTGAGAGGCACCATCAATGCTGCCTTTGTAAGTTTCTGAAGATCAAATGGGAAGACAGGAATAGGCAAAGCCCACCAGTATCGAAGTAATGATCACCCATCAGCAATTCCACTGGACTGGTCACATTGTCCGGATGCCAGACCATCGCCTCCCCAAACCGGTCCTGTTCTCTCAGCTGAAAGAAGGGTACCGTAACGTGTGTGGACAATGGAAGTGTTATAAGGACTTGGAGGATAACCTAAAAAAGTGTAATATTGACATTGACACTTGGGAGACACTTGCCCAGGATTGCTTAAAATGGAGTGAAGTCCTACGTGATGGTCCCCTGCATTTTGAACTTGCTCGCCAACAGGCTGAAGAGGACAAGAGGTGCAGGAGGAAGGAGAGACTGGCTTCCAGTCATGGTCAGCGGCCTCCTGCTGAGCCTGAAAACATCTGCCCTCATTGCAATAGAGCTTGTGGCTCAAGGACTGGCCTTATTAGCCACCTGAGGACCCCTAACACCCATGGAAGATGATCATACTCGGTAACGAGTGATCGCCCATCATCATCATCAGAAAGAGGTTGCAGAGTACAAGTACTATGTGGTTTGAAATGTGTGTGATAAGTCAAGGTTACACATGCTGCCATGTTCTGAAAGTGAATGTTCTAATATGATTTTTATTAAAGCAGGTGCAGGTACAAAGAGGGGTATAATCGACTGCCAACCTTAAGCTGAAAGGCTCCATCTTGTTAGCAGGTGTTGCTCTAGTTGGGCATCGATTAAGTGGATTTTGACGACTTGCTGAGGCAGGTCACTTGCTACCTCCTCCCTTGGATCTAAGGGAGGTGGAAGGGCCTCTTGGGGTCAGAGGATCTAGGGTTTGGGCAAAGTAGTTCTGAAGGATCAACTCTCAGATCAGATAAGTTTCTGCAAGAGCTGCAGGGGAAAATGCTGCAATGAGCAGCTGCTTCAACCTCTAAATCCAACCTACAATCCCACAGAGCTTTGGCAAAGGCGTTCCCATGAGACTAGGGGAGAGGGGAATGAGAATAAAGCCACAAAACTGGCACATTCCTAATGCAGCTCACCTTCTAATAGACCCAGTAGATCTGGTTGCCCCTGGCTTAAACTATCTAGCCCTTGTCAATGACTCCTCAAGATGCTCCTATGAGGCACGTATATGTTGTTATTTCTATCAAGGCCCTGATTTTGCAAACATCTATGCTCATGAATCATCCCAATGACCCAGTCAGACTGATCACACATGCAAGTGTTTACAAGATTAGGCTCTTCCATACCACGATGATAGATGTCTTAGAAAAACCTAAGAGCAATGGACATTTACAGATGGATAAACTGATAAGAGAGGGTGGTTAAGGGACTTGCCCGAGGCCACTAAGAGAGTCAGTGCTGGAAGCAGGAAAAGAATTCAGAAATTCAGGGCTCCCTGTCCTGTGTTCAGGCCACTAGATCACAAATGGCTCAATGAACTGGCGAATAATATGAATCTGAGTGAACATTTGACTTACCTTTCCTTCCTTATCACACAGTGTATGGATCTGGAAAAAGTCTTTGTTCGTACAAGGAGGACGCGCTGTACATTGGCTGGAGCCTTCATCTGAAAAGGAAGGATGAGGAACAGAGTGGTAAAGGATTTCCAAAGGGCTGAAAATTGAGGTAACCAGCCAGACTGCAAGATGGGACAGGAAAAATGCTAATTCAGGAACAAAAATACATGTACTGGGATTTTCAAAGGAGCCTATGAGAATCAGGCACCCCACTCCCACTGAAATCCAGCGGGTTCCTTTGACAAGCTCAGGCATTACTTGTACTGTCCGATACTCTGCTTTGGCACGGACTGAGACAGCCGTACAGTCAGACCGGCATCTAACCCTTTTTCTCTGCGATAACAGTAAACCCCAGTTTGCATCAATCATGCAAGCACCGTGATCAAATTCTTATCTGATAATAAATGAAAACTGACTTGTCTGTCCCTTCAGAAACGTTTTACTTTGCTGGGGCCCAGACTTATTCCCACTGAAGTCAATTGCAAAATTCCCACTAACTTCAATGTGAGCAGGCACAAGTCCCTAATCGATGTCCATACTAATGTTAGCAGTTAAAGTGATAGGAGACATTTCTGGCAGATAATCAGTTCTCTATACAAAACGTTAATCTATAAGAAAAAGAACTGTAGATGCTAATTAATCTGCAAGAGCATCGAAGCAAATGGGCAGTATTTGAGATAACATCACAGTACTGTGTATGTGCATGCATCAAATATGCTACTTATACACAGTATATGCAACAAACAGACTATTTGACTTCACTTTCATGGCCTATCCCCACGCTACCTATCATTTCTCATATGCTCACAATGATGAGGCCTCATCTGGAGTACTCTGTCCAATTCTTCTGAATCACTGAAGGTTTTTAAGAACAGGTTGGATAAACACCTATCAGGGACAATTTTGGCCGCCCCCCGGTTTTCTTTCTTACCCCACCACCAGCCCCGCCTCAGCTCCGCCCCTTCCCCAAATCCCCAGCCCTGCCTCCTCCCCACAGGCTCTCAAGCCTAGGAGGGAGGGGGAGAAGCGGCACGCGTGCCGCGGCCACTCGGAGTCTCCCCCTCCCTCCCAGGCTCTCAAACCTGGGAGGGAGGGTGAGCAGCGGCCTGCGAATCAGCTGTTCCGCGCACTGCGGCCGCTCGGGATCTCCCCCTCCCTCCCAGGTTTGAGAGCCTGGGAGGGAGGGGGAGCAGCGGCATGCGAATCAACTGTTTCAAGTGCCGTGGCGTGCGAGCGGCAGCAGCGGAGGTGAGCTAGGGCGGCCGGGGCACATTTTTAGGGGCGGCATTCTGGCGCCGGCCATGCTGCCCCTAAAAATGTGCTGCCCTAAGCACCAGCTTGTTTTGCTGGTGCCTAGAGCCGGCCCTGCTCGTATGCCTAAAGTTAAGCATGTGCTTAGTGCAATGGAGCTATGTCATGGATGAATGTGGTCCATTTTACTTAGTGGTTTCTAGTTGCTATCATGGTAAGGAAACAGAGGAGCTTTGAAGGTTATCACATGTCCAGTCTGCAGCCAAACCACCATGTGCTCTGATCCAGTCAGATCTCCCAATGCAAGGAGGGGTTGACCAGGTGACTGTTTGAATAAGAGATCTCCAGGAAACACTCGGGTGCCGAAGGAAGCAGTTGGGAGCTGCCAGTGAATCAGTACTGAACCAATGCCTCAGGTTAGCTTGGGGGTAACCATAATTTGGAGGAAATCTAAAACCAGGGCCATTGAAGATCTCATGGTGCTTTCTGTTAGAGCATGGGAGTTATAAAGTACCCTGGCCAAATTCCAGTGTGAGCCATTATAAATTGCAAACAAATTCCCTCTGCAGTTTCAGATCGGCACCATATTAACCACCTTTTTGGGTCCCAATCTCTTCTGACTACTTTTCAGTGGTGGGCGAAGTTATTCCTATGTATGTATGTATGTATGTATGTATGTACAGAGATCCATAAAAGCACGCAGAGCTGATAATAATACTGAAGCAGACGCATATTCATGTATTCTTTTTGGCTTATGCCCTGTACCTGCATAATGTGTTTCTTCACTACAGTTGGTACATTCCTTAGCTCCTTTCTCTGAGTAGGTATTTCTGGGACACACCTGGCAATTGGAAGACCCTGGCTTATCACTGAATGTACCAGGTTTGCATGGAAAGCATTCAGATGTATATGCAACTCCTGTAAAGCAAAGCACAGGTTAAGCACATAAATAGGCACAAAAATAGAGAGCAGCAGTACCTGCAACTCCCGCCTACACAGTTGTTTTGGGAAAAACAGACACCGTATAAGATCACTGAACAGTCACAAACAGTCATTGCTAGTTTGAGTCCGTTGGGCTTTGCTAACGGAGACTCTGGTTTTGCAGTCCTTACCCAGGCCAAACTCCCATTCCCTTCAACGAGAGTTTGATCTGGATGAGTATTACATTATATGAAACTAAGGGCTTATCTATACTTGGAAATATACCAACAGAGCTATTCTGGAATATTAGAGTAAATTTCCAAGTCCTGAGTGTTCTATAATGTAATGGACTATTTTAGAGTAATAATTCTGTAACAGTTATTCAGTATTAGTCTCCACTCTGATTCTGAAATAGCTATTTTGGTACATTTCCAAGTGTAGACAAGCCCAGTTGTAATAAAGGTCTGCTATGCTGTGCTGTTGCAGACAGCCTGAGGGGTTTTTTTTTTTCCTTCTACAATTCCAATCTTCCCCAGCAGGCGTCACCGTTTACTAATTAATTCCATGTATCATATTTCTCAGGACACCAGTGGACTAAATATTTTCCTAGAGATTTGGAAAAGTAAAAAAGAATGCATGGAATAATTACTTTAAATAAGGCCAAAAAAGAAAGTTTACTGCGATTATGATGTCAATTTTTTTCTCCAAAAACAACGTATCTGTCCTTAAAGACAGTGGCTGGAATAAAACAATTATTATTGCAATGTACAGTAGAGAGTTTAGTTATTAGCTGATAGTATGATATTCCATACCTTCAATTGTGATGTTTTTCACCAGAACAGGTTTCACCACTTTAGAACCCATAAGAATCCCCGTTGTTCTCCAATATAATATATTAGTTCCTGGTTTCAAAGCTACCTGCAACAACAAAAGACTGATACTTCGCATCAGCATCTTTCGAGCGACCACCTACTCGACGTTGTTCTTTTATCTCCTAATACATGTCACTCATTTCAGTGACTCATTTTCCTCACATCCTTGGAGCATTTGGGGATTCTGCGGGTCAACTGTTTTGTAAGTCATCGGCTGTAGGAGGCACAGATAGATAAGGAGGATGCAGCAGTGCCCTCTTTATGGAGGGCAGATGCAGGTATTATGGAGGCAGGGAGGCTCTGACACCTCCCTTGAAGAGGTGCACTGCAAGTCCCCCTGAGCCAACAGAAAGCAGTGGGCGCGGGGCGGAGGGGGGAGGGAAGAGTCATGTCCCATCCAGCCAACCCACAGCTGCAGGTGCCCAGTACACCGGGAGTGGATAGCATTCCCCTGGTGCTCATGCTCAATCATTTTAAACTCTACTCTGTTCCGGATCTAGGATCTTAATCAATCAGTTGTTGTTTTTTTAAAGCCACACAATTCACCTTTTAAAAAACAGGGTCCAGTATTTTAACAAGCCATACTTTTACGTATGCTATATGGGTTGGGATTTTCAAAAGTGCTCACCGTTGGCCTATCTCTGCTCCCATTTACCAAGGACTTGATGGCACTAGAAAGTTGTGCCATTTTAGCTATATCAGTACAGTAAAAGCAGTACCACCCTTTAACCCTCCCACCCTCCAGTGTGGATGAAGTAATAAAGGTGCTTTGTATTGGCATAGTTATTCCCTGTGGGAAAGAGAATAAGCTACACCAGGATACGGCACTTGTATACTAGTATAATTGCAGCCACACAAGGGCTGCACTGGTATAACTATCTCGATACAAAATTCACCCTCCTAACCAACATACCCTGTTTCCCCGAAAATAAGACAGTGTCTTATATTAATTTTTGCTCCCAAAGATGCGCTAGGTCTTA